ACGAGTGAGAAACAACTTAATCAGCCAAAAAACACGTAATAAAACGTCAAGTCTCGGTCTCGCAATTACAGCGGAGCGACGGCTCGTTTTTTGTTTTTAATTTATTTTCCGGTTGATAATGAAATTGTTATTATTTTGAGACGTCCCGGGTTTTGTTTATTCCTTTTTTCCTTTTTCTTTATTTGCAGCCTTTTCCCCAAATTAAGTTGTTCTTTTTTTACATACGAGGGTCATCCAAAAAGTAAGGTTCCCTACCTTGTATCTTTCGAACAAAAAGAGACAAATCAAATCGGTAATATAGACATTATTAGGCATACTATAAGCTTTAAAACAAGCTCAAGTTTTTGAAAATCGGTTGAAGGGTTTCCGAGAAAACTTAATTTTACTGAGACAACCTCCTGTCGCCGCGTGCCCACCTCCGGGGTCAGGATGCGCGGAAAGTCGATTATCTCAGACTCGGGTTATCGCCTCTAAACATCAAATCAAAAAGGACTTTGAAAGTTTTCATTGAGTAGACTGTACCTTACTTTTTAACGTAGTCTCCGCATCTTTTTTGACATTCTGTTATCATTACAGTAGCTTTTTGACGCCTTCCGCGTAGAAGCTCTCGTCTTGGCTACGAAACCAGTCATTGACAGCGAGCTGCACCTCTTAATCAGCTAGAAATCGCTTTCTACCACGTGGAAGTTTTTCAGCTCAGGAACAGAGAAGTCACCTGAGGCTAAATTGGAAGAGTTCGGAGGATTGGGGGAAAATTTCCCCACACAAAGCAACTGATTTGTATGTGCAGATCGCTGTCAATGACTGGTTTCGTAGCCAAGACGAGAGCTTCTACGCGGAAGGCGTCAAAAAGCTACTGTAATGATAACAGAAATGTCAAAAAAGATGCGGAGACTACGTTAAAAAGTAAGGTACAGTCTACTCAATGAAAACTTTCAAAGTCCTTTTTGATTTGATGTTTAGAGGCGATAACCCGAGTCTGAGATAATCGACTTTCCGCGCATCCTGACCCCGAAGGTGGGCACGCGGCGACAGGAGGTTGTCTCAGTAAAATTAAGTTTTCTCGGAAACCCTTCAACCGATTTTCAAAAACTTGAGCTTGTTTTAAAGCTTAGAGTATGCCTAATAATGTCTTAATTACCGATTTGATTTATCTCTTTTCGTTTGAAAGATACAAGGTAGGGAACCTTACTTTTTGGATGACCCTCGTATTTTTAAGGCTAATCGTATGCAATTTTCGAGAAAAATTATCTTAGACGTAGTAAGGTTGGTAGCAAGTGCGGTTGGTGATAACCGTCAAAAGTTGGCAATGACCCCCCTCCCATCCACAAAAACCAAAACAAAGCACCGCCATTTTTGGGTCCTAAGCCTCTCCATGGGGCCCAGTGGCCATACTCTCTCAATATAGGTACTCTACACTGGCCTCCTAGCGACAGGTGGAAGCTTTTACTTTCGGGGCTTCAACAATTCCTTATGGACAGGTATTATAGGGCGCAACAGTCATGATCACCCTAATTTCGGCTATTGACTTACCTACATGGTCGATGATGAGTTTCGGGTGAAGTCATGAGCCAAACAAGTTTCACAAACGTTGGCCATTTTCGGCTTGTTTGCAAAACGGAACTGCCAACACGTTGTTGAACATCAACCATGTGGGCAAGTCAACAGTAGAATGCTGAAGATAGAATAGATTCAGATCATTCGGAATTTTTGCTATAGATAGATTCCGGTGCAAAATTTCACTCCAAAATGTTTAACAGTATGTGGGGAAATGAGTTCGTATTCAATCGACGTGCTCCACAAGCAGCAACGGTCAGAACTGATTGAGTTCACGTCAATGGTACAGACAGCAAGTTACTTAATTAGAGCTTGTATTTATATGTGTTCTCTATAGGTCAAGAAACACCAAAAAATGTATAACGAACGGATTTTTACTAGCTAGGATTACGCATTTATGCAGTAATTTTCTCACGAGAGCTATAAATTTCGGCAAGTTTAGAACTGGTAAATGCGTAACCACCATGGGAACGATGTTACTGACCTCAAGCGGAATACGCGAAGATCTACTTACATAGCCTATTTATTACAGCTCTACGTAATGCATTCGCGTTGAATAGGTACTCCTCAAACTCAATATTCGAGCGCCTTGTAGCACAGACCTGGGGTTACTCATTGAACTCCGCAAATGTGTATATACATGATACGGGGTGTTTACGTCTTCGTGCGTCACCATCTCCAGAATATACAGGGTCTATCAGAGTTAATCACCAAACTGGCGAAGCACACTCTATAGGGTCAAAATGGATCGTATTCGATAGTGGTCCGATGCATCGTTTGATTCAAAACAAGGACATAACCTCGAACCGAAATTTTAGGATATTTGTCAAAAAAGCTGAAAATGAGAAAATTCGTAGCAATTTCACGACAATTGGCCAATTAGTACTCATACAAATAAAAAATCTCTCACAAAAAACCGTTCCGTCAGATCACTCAATTAACTTTTGAGGCTATGTTTATGTTTTGAGCCAATCGATACTGGTACAATCTCACCCGTTTGATGTATCGAATACGATCTTTCAGATTTTTTTTCTTGCAGTTTTATCTGAAAGGATCCTGAGTTGAAGCTGTAAACGGCACTCCAAATATTCTGGAAAATTGTGGCTGTTTTTCTAAATTTTTGGTTATATTGATCGAAAATAACTCATTGTAGCGCTGAATTTAGGTATTCGTGGAAACAGAGAAGCTCATGCTTAGGAGGAATTTCAGAAATTCTTTGAGAAAAAAGGCCTGAAAATTGAACATTTCTTTTTTGGAGGGGGAAAGGGTAGCCGGAGACATTTCACATTAAGTCTTGTTCATAGACCCCAAATTAAAGAAAATAATCAACTGGCCGATGAATGCTCTCCGAGCCAATGCTCTGTCAAAATGTACAATGAGTATTTGAGCAAACTTCAAAAAATCGCGCGGTAATTTGGGAAATATTGCACAAACATGATTTTTTTTAAAATTTGTACTTAAAAAAGAGAAAAGAAGTATAATGAATACTTTTAGATATTACACACATCTTCAAAAAGCTCACTTGAGATGGCAAAATAAAAACTTGACCGAATATAAATTTTTATGACAATACTACCTCTAGAGAGTATGAAGGAAAAATAAAAAGACTGTTTTTATTTTATCCCTGTGCTTACGAGTGACCGAACCAAAAAGGTTAGAGGAAAAAACCGAATGCAAAATATTCGCATGTGCATGTGCCATGTAATCCCAGGATGAACAATGTTGGACCACACCAAGAGAGAATTTAAAGATTTAGTATCATGGAACACATTTTCTCATTAAAATCTCACTCTACAATATAGAATCATGATATTAACGCGTAACACTTAAAGCCTGAGGCACGAAGCGCTTTGGGGGATTGAACCGCGAGGCGGTCAGGGGGCGGAGCTCCTTATTTTTCAATAACTCAAATCGACTCTTTCACAATGACAATTGCACTGCACGGATAGAATGAAAACGAAACAAGCGCAGTATGCAAGAGATGATGTCACCTTGCTCCACGTAAGAATCGTCTTATACTTTTTGGGTATACTTCCCCAGCTCCGGAGAGTTAAAAGAGTCGTATCACATGATGAACCAAAATCCCTCGTACGAAGTTGCAGAGAAAACAAATATGAGCAGCATCAATTTTCAACCAGGGTAGCGGCAATGCAATAAGTGGATTATGCCGCGCAGTTAGCTGTGTTGTTACCATGCACCTACTTTGTTTTTAATTCGTTCTTGAGATATAGGTATAATTTAGAGTGAATGAAATGAATGAAATAAAATGAATTTGGACAATAAAATTGCCTTGCTTTATGATTGCTTGGTCGATTGTTTAAAATCGGCATTTTACAAATCTCAATTTTATTACATTAAATCAATTTTTTTTTCAATATTCGCACTTCACCGTGCTAGTAGGGGGAAGTACAGCTCTCTCATGAAATTCTGAACTTACAGCTGTTTGGTCAGACACGACGTTTATTTTTGTGAGCTTCCTTGCTTTTCAAAATTCTTCACATTTTACGAGAAGTAGGGAAAATTTTGCTGTTTCAGCGGTACCACTCCGTTCATTTATAAAAGGGTATGGATTCGATCGACAAGAATTGATCGAAAAATAAAAACGAGAATTGATCGACGCGAACCAATCAATACAGGTTCGATTGACAAATTATTAAAAAACCGGAAGCAGATCGACATGAATCGATCGAAAAATGAAAACGTGAACTGATCGACAAAATTCGATCGAATCATTGCTTTGTCAATCGATTCTGGCTTAGTCCATCAATTCACGAATTCTTCATCGGTTCACGGGTTTGTCGATTGATTGATGGGTTTTGTCGATCAAATCACGGTGTCGTCGATTGACTTGCAGGCTGCAGGGTTTGTTTTTGTCGATTGACTCACAGATTTGTCGATTGATTCACGCGTTTGCCAATCAATTTACGGGGTTTGCGATCGTTTCACGAATTTGTCAGTCAAAGTTGTAGATAGGTTTACGCTTTTATTTTCGTCCATCATATTCACCACCCTCCCATTTTTAAATTAGCAGAAACTCGAGGAAACCTCGATTTCGATAATTTAATGGAAACGTAAACTGATTGACGTGATTTGATCGACAAGATTCGAACGATTCACGGCTTTGTCGATCGATTCTGACTTTGTCGATCATTTCACGGATTTTTCTATCGATTCGCGGATTTTTCTATCGATACACTGGTTTGTCGAGGAAAACTCGATTTCGATAATTCAATGCAAACGAAAACTGATCGACTTGATTTGATCGACAAAATTCGATAAATTCACGGCTTTATCGATCGACTCTAGCTCTGTCGATCAATTCACGGATTTTTCTATCGGTTCACAGGTTTGTCGACTGATTGATGGATCTTGTCGAGGAAAACTCGATTTCGAAAGTTTGATCGCTATCGCTCCCTTCGGTAAGACGGTGGAAGGTGACTTACTTTTTCATCGCGGCCCAAGAACTCCCACATAGGTATCCCAGATCCGGCGGCATAGCTCACGAAGAGCGAAACGATCAGGGGCCACAAAACACACACAAAATCGGGACAAGACATCGCGAAAAACTCTGGAGAGCGCAGCGGCGGCACGGACACATAGAGCGGGCCTCGTTTGTTTACTAACGCGACATGCTTTGCCGGACTCCCAAGTTCGACCACGGTGCATGGGAAGGAGGAGGGGGGCGGGGGGTCGGAGCTTTGGAGGGGGCTCCTGGTCTCCTAAGCTCCAGCATCTCGGGTCCGTCTACAGGGTGATCCGATTCACTGGGTCCGTCTACAGGGTGATCCGATTCACTGGGTCCGTCTACAGGGTGATCCGTTTAGCTGGGTCCGTTTACAGAGTTAAATCAGGTCCGTCCGTAGGGCGATTCGTTTATGCGGGTCCGACCGCTGAGTTGATCAGTTTAATCAGCAGCCGGATTGTTGAAACTTTAGCTGGCTATGTCGGCACGATAAGACAAGACATAGCCCTATCTGCGCCGTGCAATATATCGATTTTCGATTCTTGTCGTGCCGACATAAATTTCAACGATCAGGCTGCAGGTCCGTCTACAACGTGATCCCATTAACTAGGTCCTTCTAAAGGGTGCTCCGTTTCATCGGGTCTGTATATAGATTAATCCGTTTGAATGCGTTTGTTATCAACGAGAGTCTTAATACAAAAAGGGTTTTGCACGATGTTATAGCGAGACCGTTTTGAAAGAAATGTTTTTGCAAAAAACGGATTGCTGATTTAACAATTCAATTGTTTAAAAAAGGGACTGCAACGTTTCAAATGTGCATTTCACAATAGTGGAATGCTAATTCACCCACGGGGGTGGTTACAGTAGCATTTTCTGTTGTTAAAGTAGCATTTTTTTGTCGCAAAGTCTACATCGGAATATTGCAGTCACTTTTTCTGACAAGAAAATTGTCAAATCAGCGATTTAATTTTTTCCGTGGATCAAGCATCAAAACACGATTTTATGACCAGCGCGACGGATCCATTGATTTTCGCTCCTCCGACGCGACATAAGGGCGTATCTCAACTGCCACGTGAGCCTCGTTTTACATAGAAATCCATGCTTTCTGGGGCTCATGCGGAAATCGAGATACGCCCTTACGCAGTGGCGTGGCGTGAATGATCGATTATCGATATTTCCCCATTTGAATCCGTGCTAAAGAATCGATAATTAAGGTGTTCGCTGCGAACACCATGTTAATCGATCCTTTTCCATAGGTTTAAATGACAGATCAATCAATATATCACAAAGCACGCCACGCCACTGCCCTTACGTCAGAGGAGCGACGAATTGTATTCAAATGCATGCGGATTTGAAATTCCCACGGTGCGAGCGGGAATTCCGAGGTATAGCCAGCGCCGTGCTAAGGAAAAACGCCGTATGAACATTCGTGAGTTGCCAATTTTCCTTCGATAAAATGTTTATTATTGCGGAAATGTATGCATATTTCTCCTTGAAATGTCCAGATATTTTAGATTAAATCGTAAACAAATATGACTGGAAATTCAATGTGCACTGGAAAAAATCTCTCGGCGTTTTCACCAAGGTCCGTTGGTACCTTTACCATCTCATGCTTTTTACGAATTATTGGTAATTTTACCAAGACAGACTGGTAAGCTTACCTAAAAACCGGTATTTTTGCTGTTTTTTTCCAGGTAAGAATAACCCTCTTATTGGTAATAAATTCCCGGTAACTTTGCCATTTTATCTCGGTAATTCTCCCACGGTCGATAAAAAATATTGGCGTTTTTACCAAGGTCCAGTAAAATTACCGAGAAAGTTCAATAATTTTACCGAGATTCTCGGTAAAATTACCAATTCCATAAATGGTAATTTTACCAAGAAAAAACTGGGATCAAAGAGAACCCTGAATTCTTGGTAATTTTACCCTTTTCTTGGTAAATACACCGATATTTTTTTCAGTGCGAGAGGTGCCGGAGATTTTGAGGTAAATCCAACGGGCTGATTGTTGAAATTGATAGACAAAGCTATGGACGAATAAGACAAAAGGGATATGGAGGAATTCTAAAAAATAGGGATTCTAAAAAATATTGGCGTTTTTACCAAGGTCCAGTGAAATTACCGCGAAAGTTCAATAATTTTATCGAGATTTCTCGGTAAAATTACCAATTCCATAAATTGTAATTTTACCAAGAAAAAACTGGGATCAAATAGAACCCTGAATTCTTGGTAATTTTACCCTTTCCTTAGTAAATACACCGGGATTTTTTTTTCATTGTGGCATAGTTCCGAAAATGTGTGGTAATTTTCCAAGTTAATTCGTTTCTTATCGAACGAGACATGGCAACATCTGAAGATTCATACGGCGTTTTTCGTTAACACGGCAGCATAGGCCCGCACTGACGCGGTTGAGAATCCTACAGATGCAGCTGGAAAATCCATCGCGGGCAGCACTTGCACGTCTAAAAATGTCCGTGTTTTTTTACGTCGGGTTAGTTTCTTTTGAACCAGATCGACCAAACAACGGTTTGATCATCTACCATTTTTTGTGTGTTGAATTGATCTTTGACTTAATGTTAAATCAACCGGAACCTTAGGGAAATTTCATGGAAAATAAAATCTTGAAAGGAGGGGTTGCGATTTGGGCCGAAATCGGCCCCTCCACGGAATTGAATAATTTTTGGATATTTGGCAGTTGACGGGGCATATTGGACGAAAATAATCGAGTTTTGCCGATACTCCCGTTTTTTGGCTGCGAAATAGGGGCCTAAACATGGCTCCGGAGCCGAAACCTGAAATTTCGCGTTTTTCATGGTTCTACCTCAGATTTTGACCTAGGTCCAAAGGCGACGAGTACTGAGCTTCGAATATGGTGTCTGGGACACCTACACACGTAACATACTCGAATATGATCAACCGTCGCCTTTGGGCCCAACTTCAAGAACGAACTTTTCCAACTTTTTAGCCCGAAATAGCTGAAAATTCATGTTTTCCGCGGTTCTACCTCAGATTTCGACCTGGGCCCAAAGGCGACGGGTGATGAGCTTCGAATATGGTGTCTAGGACATCTAGACTCGTATAATACTAGAGCATGATCAACCGTCGTCTTTGGGCCCAACTTCAAAATCGAACTTTTCCAACATTTTAGCCGGAAACAGTTGAGTATTCCTGTTTGCTGTCCAACGTTCTATTCAGGTTCTGTACTGAACCCAGAACTTGCCTTCGAATATAGAGAGCTGATTTATATAGCCTTCCTATATTGACTGTCACCAGTCACTTGAATGACTATTAAAACTGAGTTTTGTACTATTTCACGTACAGGTTAACTTGACAACTCCAGATTCCTTGATTGCTTCCTTGAGCTCTCCAGTGCTTAGTAATGTTACCATTATGAAAAGCTCACTGTAATAAAACAGCATACAGGTTTGTATTTGATAACTATCCCAGATGAGAGATATCTAATGATAGAAACTTCAAGATAGGTTCTTTTCTACTGAATGCAGTTTTCGCCAAATATATTCTGCAGTGCTTATCATGGCCTCATGAGGTCAGATAAGTATGTTGCCTTGGAAAGTTGGATATGTTCGATTTTGAAGTTGGGCCCAAAGGCGACGGTTGATCATATTCGAGTATGTTACGTGTGTAGGTGTCCCAGACACCATATTCGAAGCTCATCACCCGTCGCCTTTGGGCCCAGGTCGAAATCTGAGGTAGAATCGCGGAAAACATGAATTTTCAGCTATTTCGGGCCAAAAAGTTGGAAAAGTTCGATTTTGAGGTTGGGCCCAAAGGCGACGGTTGATCATATTCAAGTATGTTACGTGTCTAGGTGTTCCAGACACCATATTCGAAGTTCATCACCCGTCGCCTTTGGGCCCAGGTCGAAATCTGAGGTAACCGCGGAAAACGCGAAATTTCAGCTATTTTCGGCCATGGAGCCATGTTTAGGCCCCTGTTTCGCAGCCAAAAAACTTGAGTATAGGCAAAACTCGATTATATCCGTCATATATGCACCGTCAACTGCCAAATATCCAAAAATTATTCAATTCCGTGGAGGGGCCGATTTCGGCCCGAATCGCAACCCCTCCTTTCGCGTGAAATATTTCGTAAAATTTTAGAAATGTCTGAAAGATATTGAAGTATACTGGTTCCTTTCCATGTCCCGTAAAATGTATAAATTGTGACTTTCTTCTATTTTTGCATGTTTGAGTGCAGGTTGCATACCCTAGCCCCTGGAAAGTACGAAATATTTCACAGCCTCGTGAAATCTCATGAAATATTTCACTGAAATTTCCAATCTTCATTTCTTTCTTAAGTTTCATGCCACCCTGGGTACCACGAGACGTCTCAAAACTAACTAAGAGTCCTACATCTTCATATCTGACTTAAATCGACTTGATCAACTCGGTAGGAAAAACGCCGTATGAACCTCCGGCTGTTGCCAAATGGACGTATTTATGCTAAAGGAGCTATGTGCATAGGGGTTGCGTGAGACGTAGTTCCTTTTAGCATAAATACGTTCAAACATGTTTGATAACACAAAGATTCTCTGAGAAATTTTTGAATATTTCCCTCCAAATTTCACAGAAGTCACTTAGCAGCTTGGGTGATATGATCTGAAAATTTAAAAGAAAAATATTCAAAACTTTCCTTAAAAATAGTATTTTATCGAGAGAAATTTGGCAACATTCGAACGTTAACACGGCGTATTTCCTTAGCCTGGGTGTGTATGTCTGTCAGTTTATTGATAATTTCGTCACCTTCCAGGCAAAGTATCACAAGCGCCATGCGACGTTTAAAAATTTCCGCCGCCATTTTATTTCTTTACTGAGAAATTGTTGGTTGAATCTGTTTGGAAATTTCACTAAATTTTATCGGCAGCACAAAGAAAATTCAGTGAAATTTTCGGACAGCTTCGTTGAACAATTTCTCTGTATAAAAATAAAATGGCGGCGGAAATTTTTAAACGTCGCATGGCGCTTGTGATACTTTGCCTGGAAGGTGACGATTTCTCAAATGTAAGGAATAGGTCCTCAGAGCACATAGAAGCATTCAGAACACAGCCGATTGGTGGATACGACTTAATCAACTTCGGAGTAGGGTTGGGTTGCATCGTCAAATTTGAAGGCGAACTAGCAGCAATTTTGTTTCCAAGGGACA